TGGTGTGTTTATTTTGAGTCTTCCACGAAACTCTTTAACAATAGGTATATACCACATACCTTCAACAGTGACCGCTGTTCCATGCCCAGAAGAGGACAAAAAACCTCCAGGATTTTTTGGTGAAAAATTGCTTCCTGACCTCAAAGTGTCGATCAGCATTTCCCTGGGCGTGTAAGAAAGGGCCTCAGGAAGTTCTTCCTAATGTTTAGCCCGATTTTAATTTCAACCCATTGGTTCTGGTTACTACCATTGATGCAGCTGAAGACACAGATTCCCAATTCCAAAAACCCCCAACAACAACCAAAAACAGAACCAGGCAAAAAGCAGAAGAGGAAATTTCAAAATATTAAAGAAAAACCAGCCAAATGAACTATTTTTATCATGTGCTGTTATTCTGTTTAACCAGCACCATACGTCAGATTCTAATCAGGAGGACAAGAATACCACAGACCACCTGAGTGAACGGGTATATACTGACTGGAAGACAATGCAGCTAGTCCACGATCAAGGCAATCTTCCCTTCCTTCAAGCTGGAGAGAACTGCCAAACGTAGCACCCTTAATCTGCACTCCACACTTAGAGCAACTAGTTAAGACAGACCAAGTTTCTAAAGCCAACTCCATACGCCAGTAGAAGCAAGATGATTAAAGGGTGGCTTATTTTCATGCAGCCAGTAGCCAGCTTTCCCCACCACAGGACAAGAACTACCTGCATATACTTTCAAACATTCACAGGCCGGATATCGCGGGGGGTGGGGGGAGGCGTGGCTAATTGCCCCAGTGCAGTTTGATCCGCGATTACGGGTCCTTCCCTCGGCGCCGGCGGGTAAACGAGGGACCGGAGGGGAATGCAGCACGCCGGCACGATCACACCACGGGAATCTGGAGGCAGCTCGTGGCAAACGTTTACTAGTACTTTAGAGGTACTACTTTTTTAACGCGCATTTTCGGCGGTAAGCAACGGATGTGCTCCACTTCCCAGATGTTGGGGTGTGATCGCGCCTGGATAATCCGCCCACCATCCGTGCCTCTCCCGCGGCAACTTTGCCGTGTGACCGGGGCCACTATGCATTAAGTATTCCGAGTATGGTTTCAGTCACCGTTGGACAAGAAGGAAACAGCATCTGCTCTTTTTTTTTCTCCTAATTTTTTTTAATGCCCCCCGAAGGGGATTTTTTTAATTGCATTTTCTATAAACTACAAACTACAATGAAAAAATGGGAAAGGAACATCTACACCTAAGGAGAAAGGAAAGAAAACCACTAATAACTAAAACCTCAAGAATAGGAGATCATTACATCAGCTTATATAAGTGTTAGTCTAAAATGCTAGTATTACATTGAACATAGTCGATTAAGCTAAATTATTCATCTTTTTAACCATTTTTTTAACTGTTTAAAGACAACCCCAAGAGCATCATTTATAACAAATACTTTAAGGCACCATTCAGAGTTCTTCAGCCTTCACTTTGCTTTGTCTTTTCTGATTCTCAATTGGTATTCTCGTTTGGGGGCAGCCGTCCCAGCATCTGCTCTTTGATATGAAACTCCACTCCATGAGGGCAGGACAAGAAAGTGGGTGAGTTCGCACAACACCCCCCCACACCCAGGCTCTGCAGAAAGAACTTAGAGTGGGGTCCCCAACAAGGTGCCCGCGGGTGCCATGGTACCAGCGACGCCTTTCCCGGCACCCAGTAAGCATTTTAGAAAGTGGACAGGGCCAGGTAGGTTCTTCCCCAGCAACACTTCTGACTGGCTGTTGGAGATCTCATTCATTGTGCAGGCTTGAGAGCCAGCGTGGTGTAGCAGTTAAGAGCAGTGGACTCTAATCTGGAGAACCGGGTTCTGATTCCCTATTCTTCCACATGAAGCCAGCTGTGTGACCTTGGACCAGTCACAGTTCTCTCAGAGCTCTCTCAGATCCACCTACCTCGCAGTGTTTCTGTTGTGGGGAGAGGAAGGGAAGGCGATCGTAAGCCCCTCTGAGACTCCTTCAGGTAGTGAAAAGTGGGGGTATGAAAAACAACTCTTCTTCTTTTAAAACCATAATTCTGGCAGCAGCTGCTACCACAGCCCAAGGAGCTTCGCTGTGTGACTGAAGGTAAACTGTGGCAGCCATTTTGTGGCTGGCTCCACCTTCTGTGGCAGCCATTTTGTGGCTGCACACACCATGCTGTGTCAGAAGTCCAAAGGTGCCTGCAGGCTCAAAAAGGCTGCCATTCATATACTAAGCATAAATCTGGATCAGGGAACTTGGAACTGCCTGGCACAAGAATGTTACTGAGAGCATGATTTTTCACCACAAAATCAGCCAAGGAGAATCATTCTCCGATCACACTGACTGGAAACCATTCATAACAGTATTTCTCAAGAGCAAAAAGCCTTCTTACCTTCTGTACTAAGTATCACATGGGGTCCGCTCCCATAACTGAGACTCCGAATCTTCTTTCCACACAGAACTTCAAGTTTCTTTGGGACAATGGTGCTTTGGTTATCTCCAGTCCCCAGACAATTACTACAGTTTAGTCCAAAGACAAATACCTAGGAAAAAAGACCAAGCGGCCCACATTTTAATACGTGCACTTGACTGGCTTCGTGACTGAAAGAGGGATAAACAGGGTGGGTTTTTTTGTTTTTTTAAAGTTCAATTCGCTTTATTTTTACATTTCAGTTCTATTGTTTCAGTGTGGATTGGGCCCCATTTGTATTTAGCAGGTTTTTAATGCTGAATCCAGATGCTTCACTGGCTTGTCTCCGACTGAAACCTATAAACTTTGGAAATACCTGGAGATTTTGGGGATGGAGCCTGAGGAGGGAGGGTTTGGTGAGGGACCTCTGTAGCAGGGGTGTCGAACTCATTGTTATGAGGGCTGGCTCTGACATAAATGAGACCTTGTTGGGCCAGGTCATGTGTGTCATAAAATGTAATGCCAGGTAGCGAAGATATAAACGTTATAAAGGACACAAACACAAAGAATTTTTTAAACTTAAAATAAAAACATGTGTGATGGAATTAAAGGTTAGTGGACAGTGGCAGGTAAATAAAGAAGCTGCTGAGTCACATGACTGAGAAGGGAGGGGTTTTGGCTAGGAATTGTCAGTGAGTGACAGATAACTGTGGACAACTGACAGTTGGGAGCTGACAGTTGGTAGAGAGTTGGAAGAGAAGTTAGCAGAGAGCGGTCAACTAACTGGATAGCTCTGAGGTGGAACAAAACCTCTATGGCTCTGTGGAAACAGCCTGATATCAGTTTGAGTCGAAAACTGTGGCTGAATAAAACTCTGCACTGATACCCTCTAAAGGAAAGAGGAGAGTGAACAGAGAGTGAACAGTATAAGACTTCAGTGGTTACAAACACCAGATACATTGCTCCAAAGGATCACAAAGAATTTTTAAAACTTAAAATAAAAACATGTGTGGCGGACACAGCCAGAGTCACACCCTGGAGAACCCTGCAGCTCCGAGCTCCGTCCAGGCAATCCCAAGACCCGACGACCTTTTTTATTTTTTTTAAAAATATTTTTGTGTGTGCATGCGTGTGCATCTGTGTTTTTGCATGCTTGCCTGGAAGTCATGGTGACTTCTGGTGACCACTACTGGGGGCTTGGACATTTTTCAAAGAGATGGCTTGATATTATCTGCCTCTGGTATTCCTTGGAGGCTGCCCTTCCAAGTACTTTGCCAGGGTTGGCCCTGCTTAGCTTCCGAGATCGGGCTTGCCTGCGCTATTCGGTCAGGACTGCAACTTGTAAGTTTTAATGAGTCAAAGGCTCCACAAAGATCTCTCTTCTTACATGAATCGTCTGGGAAAGGGGGTGGGGAGAGAAAAGAGCATTAAGAGAGCCAGCTGGGTGTCGTGGTTAAGTGCGCGGACTAATCTGGGAGAACCGGGTTTGATTCCCCACTCTTCCCCTTGCAGCTGCTGGATGACCTTGGGCAAGCCGTAGTTCTGTCAGAGCTGTTCTCTCAAGGACAGTTCTGGAAAGAGCTCTCTCAGCCCCACCTACCTCACAGGGTGCCTGTTGTGGGGAGGGGAAGGGAAAGGAGTTTGTAAGCTGCTCTGAGACTCCAAGTGAAGGGCGGGATATAAATCCAATCTCTTCTCTTCTTCATCAACCAAAACTTTAACTTGTGGGAAGCAACATGCAAGGTAAGAGGAAGGCGTATCATTAGGAAGAGTCACTGGGGCGGGCAGAACCTAGGCTTAGCCTATCCACACGCAGGAGAAACTCTTCCAACGAGATGGCTTCCATTACAGCAAGGCCCTCGAAATTCAAAGGGCCTTTTGAACATCCTACTAAAAATAACTGGGGCTTTCCCTTTTGAGTCAGCCAGTCAGCTCATGCAGTTTTAGAGCACTTCCAGGAGGAAAGTGGGGGAGTCCACCACAAATCCAGGCGCTCCATAACAGCAGCGGCCAAGCCAGATGCGACCCTGCATGTCTCTTCCCCCCTCGCCCCACCAAAGATGACTCAGCTGTGCACTGCCACCTACAGAGAACAGCTGGCCGCTCACTAATGCTACGAGAGCCATGGATGACAATGTATAGCGTACTGCACAAACGTCTCCTTCTTTAATTAGTGAGGCTGAGCAGCTGTGCTGCGACTCATTTGTAAGGCCTCACTGCAGAGCCAGTGGCCTTTGTCAGCTGGGAGTGTCGTCCCAGCATTTATAGGTTCTTGTAATTCTCAGAAGTGGATTATAGCAAAACTTTACTGCAATCCTGCGGTAGGAGGATTAGCCACCAGAAATCTGTGGCCCTGGCGGCCACGGGTTCCCATCAGGACACGCAGAAGGGACAGGAGACGAGGAGGAAAAGAAGGGAAAGATGCCACACATCCAGCTATGTGGTTGCAGGAGGTGAAGGCAGTCATCACTCAAGGGCACACAGCACAAACTTTGCATGCCGAATATCCTGGTCTCTGAAATCTACACAAAGCTCTCATGCAACAGAACCACTGCTACCTCAAGTGGGCAATATGGAGTTAGATTCAGGTCCCATGATCTAGTTCAGTATAAAGGCAGCATCCAACTATGGAGATCCTCACTACATCGTCTCACTTTTGATATACACAGATGTTCACTGTTGTCATGATCTGGGCTGCGCCACCAGAGGCCTACTAGGCCCAGGGAGCCTGGCTAGCAGTAGGTGAGGCTGGGCCTACAACTCCCAGAAGCCCCTAAGTGGTTTTGGAGCCAAAATTGACCAAGAGGAAAAGAGGAGGGCTTGGAATAAAAGATCTGGAGCAGCAGGAAAAGTTGTTCTTTTTCCCAGAGGGCAGAGCCAGAAGGAAGGCTGCTGCAGGAAAGAAACCCTCATCCTGAGGGAAGGGTGAGTAGTCTAAGGCCACTGCAGATGGTGAGCTAGGGACAGTATATTTAGACGCGTTAGGGCGTTTGATTTCTTTTCTTTTCACACACTTACTGTTATTATTCTGCACCTTGTTGTTTGACCTCCTATAAAATAAACCTTTTCCTTGTTGTACTCTGCCTGGTCCTCACGCCTATTATTCTGCCAAAAGGGAGGTCTGAAGGTCTTGGGAGGGTGGCTCTGGGCCTTCTCAAGGGAACCTGAATCCAGAGTGGTGGCAGCATCAGGTGACACTCCACCTGAGCCATGACAACTGTAATCACTGCATCTGGCACCCACGAGACTACCTTTTCACAGCGAATGCAACTCTATACTGTGCACTCCACTGGCTTGACAGCGACAAAGGAAGCCGTAGTCCAAAAGGTGTGGATAAGTCAATAAGTACACCTCAGGCTCTCTACATGTCCAATTTTCAAGAATTCGTTTGATGCCACTCGTAACCAATGAAACTGTTCTTCCTTGTGTTCCATCTGAACATAGGCAATTCATCTGGATTCTTGTGCTTAGTGGACTGGATAGGCAAACAAAACCTTACGTCATTTCAACCGGACAACTCAAAACACGCTCATGCGGCTTCTCCGATCTTACCTCGTCATTGTGGGTTATGTATATCGCTTCATTGGCAGAGGTTCCAAACACACATGCTTTTCGGATCGTGGCTATTTCCTGAGGCGAAAGCAGTGTAAATATTGGCCACTTCCCTACATCCACCATGGCTCTGCTGCATTTCATGCCACATCTATGGCGTTTCAACAGCCGTACAACAGAAACTCAGCTGGAAGAAAGGAAGGCATGTTTAGATTATGGATAAATCACATCCCGCCTTTTAGGGATCAATAACAGATTCCTACGTTATGACATTCAGGCACTGCTACACTATACAAACAGTGAGAAACATGTCTGACATCCAGATGTTACACTCAGGACGCCACAGAGCTATGCACTCTTGTGGCACTACACATTATCTGGAACTAATTCCTGCACAGCCATGCAGACAAGAAGAGTTGGTTTTTATACCCCGCTATTCACTACCCGAAGGAGTCTCAGAACAGCTTACAATTGCCTTTCCCTTCCCTTCCCCACAACAGACGTCTTGTGAGGTAGGTGGGGCTGAGAGAGCTCTGAGAGAACTGCTCTTGAGAGAACACCTCTGAGAGAACTGTGACGGACCCAAGGCCACCCAGCTGGCTGCATGTGGAGGAGTGGAAAATCAAAACTGGTTCTCCAGATCAGAGTCTGCCGCTCTTAACCACTACACCAAACTTGGGGGGGGGGGACATGGATATAAATAAAGGCAATAAATATGATCGGGGGCAGCAGATGGCCTCCCAACTCCCTCGCCTGTGCCACCCCCGCTCCTAGGACAGTGAGAACGCAGCAGCCTATTTTCAAGCACAACCCAAGCATGCTCACTTCCCAGTTTCTGCAGGGAGCAGCCAAGAGCCACGGCCACGGTTGAGTCCAGAAGAGCCAAAGAACGGTAAGTGGCTTCCACAGCATTTCTATGAAGACTGAATGCCAGTTGCCTTCTCTCTTTC